TCACATCTAAATCAGTTGATACTGATTCACATCTAATCGATTCCTTGATGACACAATCCTGGAGGCTTTGAGTTTCCACGTTCTTCTTTCCAAATTTTGGTGTAAACACCTAGGTCTTGCTGTAGTGGAACGCTCCAGGTGAAGGCAAAGCTAACGGCTCATACAAATCAAGGAAGGTGATGCTTGTACCAATTTTTTCCACTTCAAAGCCAATGGTCATCGTCATAAAAACTTAAATCCCATGTCTCAAGCAAGATGATGGATCGTTCATTTGGTCACATAAAGTTCAGGAATAGGAGTTATACAAACACTATAAAGAACACCGATAGGTTTCCATTTAATTGGGAGGAACTGAATCTCTCCAGTGTCAATGAGGCAGAGCAGGATACCGAGTTCATTGAAGAAGAAATTCTAGAAGCCATAAATGAACTTCCCACAAAATGCGCTAGAATCTAATGGGTTTACTAGGGCCTTCTACAAAATTTGTTGGCCAATCATAGAAGCTGAGATAATTAGATCCTTCGCTTGTCTACACAACCACTCTATGCCTCTTGAGAAGCTCAAGGGAGTAGCGATAATTTTCATCCAAAAAAGAAAGTTTTGGAGATAGTTGTTGATTTTAGACCTATTAGTCACTTATTTGCTAATTTGGTTTCAAAAGTTCTTGCAAAGCGGCTCGCCTTCATAATTGAGCCTTGTTTCCAATTGTGCCAAAGCGCTTTCATTAGGGGATGATGTATTCAAGATAATTTTCTCTGTATAAACAATCTGGTCAAAGCTCACCGTCGATGCAACCCTATGAACACCTGCTCCAGCTTTGGAGTAAGCGGCCCAAGTTAGAATCCCCTTTTGTGTGCTCTCGCTAGAGTTGGAGGGTGGTCTGGCCAAGGGAGAGCTTAGAGGTCCCTTGGTGCCTAGTGTCCTATATGACAACAAAGCTTTTGACTATGTCTCTTAGGAGTACCTCGATCTTCTCGAACATCGAGGATTTGACAACAAATAGTCTGACTAGCTGTTGAGCGTCTTGCGGTGAATGTAGTGCTCTTTTCTTGATTTACCCTCCTTATTGACTAGGTCATGGATGATTCCTCGCAAACGGAGTCTAAGTGGCAACACTTCACCTAAGGTGAAGAATTTTCAAATTTTATCTTGAGCCCCTTACATCCTTCTGGCAAGCCTTACTCGCATAAGTCCAAGGCCTACCGACCAGTTGGCTTTGATCTTCACCGCTCGGATTACCAATCAAATTGGTCGGCTTCGATCTTCACCGCTCAGATTACCAGTCAAACTGATCGGTTTCAATCTTCACCGCTCGGCTTCATGATAAATTGCTCGAACTTGATCAAGACGGCGTCGCCAAGCGGATACAAGGCGCTCGGGGACTAGCTGTGGGGCTATGACCACCGGTATCCATAGGACAAGACATGGGCCGCACCATCAGAGGTAGCCCAGCCCACAAGATCAAGGCGTGCGACGCACGACACTGGTCGGCGTGCACCGCAAGGCTACAATAAGATATTGTAATACCAAATAGGATATTTCCCTTATAACCCTACCCCTCCAGAGTATATAAGGAGTAGGGATGAAAACGGATCGGATACGAACGGATATCACTCATATTATATTTGTTTTCATATTTCTGTTCGGATTCGGATTCGGACACGGATAGCGTTCGGATACATATACGAATACGGATTGACTCGGTTACGGATACGAATAATGAGTATCGAATACGGTATGAATCGGATTCGGAGAAGGTCGGATACAAATATCTATTCGGATATTGAGTAAAAGCAGCATATATATATATATATATCATACGTGCGCAAACCATTACACCACTCTATGAGTCCATAATCCATCTAGATTAAGCCGAAAGACTAAAGAGTAAAGCAACAAATAAGATAAAGATATAGATACATCATACATCAAACATCATATAAGCACCAATCTTCGCGGCATGAGTAGAAATAGCCAAGCACATTGCTTCATGGGTCTCATGGAGTCATGGTCATGGATTCAAGATCTACAATCCTTATATAGGCCATTTTTTTCATTTTGAGAAAGTTTGAACAAAATGTAGTTCAAATTTCACAAGTGTGTGACATAGTTTTAGAAAGTCTGTATGAGATTTAAGAATTTATGACTAGTGTTTGATAAAACTTTCTCAAATGGGAAAATGAGCTATGTAACAATTGTATATCTTGCTGAGATGATCAAACTTGATATTCAGAGTTTTTTCATCTGAGGTCATTTAGTGTCTCATTTGAGCAAGTTTGACCAAGTCAAATTTGGTCAAATGAAAAAACAACACTTTGACTCTAGTATTATGAACTCTAAATGACTTCAAATTGAAAAGTTTTGAATACCAAGTTTGTTCAACTCATCAAGATCTACAATTCTTGTTTTGGTCAACTTTCCATTTGAGATAGTTTGGATGGTTCAAATTTATGATTTTTAAATTTCGATGCTTACAAACTAGTTTTCGGAACCCTAGATTGTCTCAAATTGAAAAGTTTTGAATACCAAGTTTGTTCAGCTCATCAAGATCTACAATCCTTATATAGGCTATTTTTTTCATTTGAGAAAGTTTGAATAAAATGTAGTTCAAATTTCACAAGTGTGTGACATAGTTTCAGAAAGTCTATATGAGATTCAAGAATTTGTGACTAGTGTTTAATAAAACTTTCTCAAATGGGAAAATGAGCTATGTAACAATTGTATATCTTGCTGAGATGATCAAACTTGGTATTCAGAGTTTTTTCATCTGAGGTCATTTAGTGTCTCATTTGAGCAAGTTTGATCAAGTCAAATTTGGTCAAATGAAAAAACAACACTTTGACTCTAGTATTATGAACTCTAAATGACTTCAAATTGAAAAGTTTTGAATACCAAGTTTGTTCAACTCATCAAGATCTACAATTTTTGTTTTTGTCAACTTTCCATTTGAGATAGTTTGGACGGTTCAAATTTGTGATTTTTAAATTTCAACGTTTACAAACTAGTTTTCGGAACCCTAGATTGTCTCAAATTGAAAAGTTTTGAATACCAAATTTGTTCATCTCATCAAGATATACAATCCTTATATAGGCCATTTTTTCATTTGAGAAAGTTTAAACAAAATATAGTTCAAATTTCATAAGTGTGTGACATAGTTTCAGAAAGTCTATGAGATTCAAGAATTTATGACTAGTGTTTGATAAAACTTTCTCAAATGAGAAAATGAGCTATGTAACAATTGTAGATCTTGCTGAGATGATCAAACTTGGTATTCAGAGTTTTTTCATCTGAGGTCATTTAGTGTCTCATTTGAGCAAGTTTGACCAAGTCAAATTTGGTCAAATGAAAAAATTACACTTTGACTCTAGTATTATGAACTCTAAATGACTTCAAATTGAAAAGTTTTGAATACCAAATTTGTTCAACTCATCAAGATCTACAATTGTTGTTTTGGTCAACTTTTCATTTGAGATAGTTTGGATGGTTCAAATTTGTGATTTTTAAATTTTGAATAAATATCCGGATAATATCCGTTTTTAAATATCCGGATATATCCGATACTTATCCGGATTATCCGATATCCGCCGGATATCGATGATATTACATCCGTATTTGATATCCGCCTAAGATATCCGTTTTAGTATCCGTATCCAAAAAAAAAACCGGATATCCGAGTAACTATCCAGATAAGTGTTCATATTTGTTCGGTCGAACGGACGGTCAAATAAATATCCGTACCGTTTTCATCTATAATAAGGAGAGGCAGGGGTCCCATAGATGGCAGATCTGATCATACGCAATACAACCCACCGAAAGACACAGGACGTAGGGTATGACGCCAAGTCGGCGGCCTGAACCTGTCTAATTGCTGTCTCTTGCGTTCTGTGTCACCATCCGGTTTCCTCACACGCACCTCCACCGATTCATCTACTACCATGGGCATACCCCTCGGTAGACTGCCGGACGTATTTCGTCAACACCTCCTCATCCTCAGTTCTTTTGAATGGAGTAGTGATTGGACCAAGAATTCATCATCCACGTGATCTTCGGCAAGGCGATCCACTGTCCCATATCTCTTTATTCTTGCAAATGATGTGTTGTAAAAGTTGCTTGACTTGGTAACATAAATTGGTCACCTGACGCCACTACAAAGCAGACATGCTGCGATCAAAAGGTACATATAAAAATCCAAATTTGTAGTCCAGGTAAGGAAATTACGCCTTTGAAAAGATCCACCCCATGTGTTTCCAAAACCCGTTGTCAGACTAAAACCGAATTGGAGTTGTATTTTTGCAATGATTTGTAGGAGTTGACTCCTAACGGGATGAGTCCACCCCCACACTATACATATAAAGGGCTATGATGGATTGAGTGCATCCAATCGATTAAAAACACAATTATTATACTATTTTTACCATTCCAATCCCCGCATTTGTTGTTTCGCAAGCATCTTGATGATGTTTATGGGCGCTCTAGATAGCGTCTAAGCATTAGAGCAACCTTAGGTGCGCCTACCCGACGGGCTTCTTCTTAGTGGCGTTCATAGGTTTTATTGCGGCGAATTCTGCCAAAACCGTGTAGCCTAGTTTCCCCAGTTTAGGATACCGACCTAGCATTTTTTTTCTAGCTTTGTTGCAATTCAATCCTCGAGCAATCTGAGTGATGCTCATAAGATCAGAGCGTGCTAACTCTATATATTACGTAATTCTGTGTCAGAATTAATGAGTTCAGATAATAAGCATTCTTACAAACAGTCTGCAACCCAGCGCCTTTTGTAGGCAGTTTCACATTCATAAGTCAAGCGGTCATAATAACATTATAATATCTTAGGTGTGATCCGCTTTAACATATACACATTGAAACATAAGTTCACACAGTACCTAAATATAACAAGTCAGTTCAGCAGGGGTTGAGCATGCTCTCTATGCATACTTGACCCCGCTAGACAATCATAAGCACATGAACAAAATAACTATACTCGAAATAGTTCAAATTTGATCCTATGCAGTTGAAAGACGAGGTACACCTGCAGTGTAGAAACCTGTGTAGGGATAACAGGATTGATAGGAACCAATCCGATTGACGTTGAAAAGCTCCGTGAACTGCATGGACTCAAGCCGGAGCGCGAAGGCGCTGGTAAATGTGGATACATGAATGGCATTGTTATCCTCATCAAACCCCAGTATCCTTGCTGCTGACAAATTACTGTCCATCATATTCATACGTGGTACCGGAAGGAGGTTGTCCAGCTGAATTGTTTTCCGTAGCACCCATCCGACGGCACCATCTGGTGAGCTGGCCTTCCTCTTCCACAACTCAATGGTGAGTTTGTACAAGATTGCAAGGCCTACCTCTCCATCCTGTGTCCTCACGACCTGGAAGAATGATCTGTCAATGGGACAGAGGCTCTTTGGCGTCTTGATTATGCCTAGGCTGTGCCTCTTCACATCGAATTCAAGGATGCCGTTTGGCCACCGGAGAAATCCGCAGAGTGCATTCCCGATCAAGACACTGGGCAGGTTGGACACGGACAAGGGAATAATTACAGTTGAGATGGTGTGGCCCCATTTTCCGGTCATGGATTCGTACACGCACATGGACACACGTATGCGACCATCGTGTACGTCGTCTGTGCGTATCAAGATGACCTTGAAGGGCTTCAAGTGCCCATCATCGCCAACGCCACCATCGGCAGTGGCGGCGGCGGTGCTCAGCACCGTGCCACGGCAGCAGTGCGCCCCGTTGTCAGTGGTGAACTCCGGTGGATACGCCACGGTGGCCCGGCAGCCGGTGGCGGGATCCCACACGACGGCGTGGAGGCGTCTCCGGTTGATGAGGAGGGCGAGGCCGTGGCGGCAGCCGAGGAAGAAGAGGCGCTCGCCGGCAGCACCAGGCTGCCGCGGCAGGGAGAAGCGCTCGGGTGGGATGCAGTCAGGCGGCGCCAGCGTCGGGACGAAGACGGGCCCGCGAGGGTCGCTGAAGAAGTAGCCCAGCAGGGGCGGAGGCGTCCGGTGGTGGTGCTGGCGGAAGCGGCGGAGGAAGAAAGGGTCCGCGACGAGGCGTCGCCAGCGTTTGCACACGAGGGACGCGCGCGGGAGAGACGACGGCAGCGGCGGCAGGCGCAGGAGGATCTCGCGGAGGAGATCGTCGTTGTCCGGCAGCGGCACCGCCCGCACTGGTGCTGCGGGTGCACGTTCCGATCCTCCGATGCAACACCTGGGAGGAGAGGCATGGCCAGAATTGTTGTTAGGAAGACTAACCACTGCCTTCTGTTGTCTGAATGGAGCTCGGTAACTACGTAGTACATACCTTGCAAAATGCCGGAGCTTGAGCAGCATCGTTCTGACGACGACGACGACGACGATCGCAAGAGAAACGCTGAGGATCGGAGCCTCCGATGGAGGCAGCCCTCGTAGGTACGGTGGCCTGGGCGCCCGTCGCACGTCGGGTGGGCCGGGGAGAAGGCTACCTGGAGACAGACGATGAACTTATCAGCCGGCTTAGTCTATTGTATTTTTCTCAAATAAAACTAACTTCTGCCGACTTATCAACTCTCGCTGAAAAAAACAACTTCAGCCGGCTTAATACCGGCCTGCGGACTGGACAACTTGAGCTGGGGGCTGTGGCGGCTTCGATTCTTGGGTCCAAGTCAGGGTCTGGTCCATTCAATTTTTAACAGTCAGCGATCAACTATAGTGATTCGTTTGTCTTTTTGTTTCTGTTCTCGACGCGTGATACACGCACTACTTAAGAGAATTTTACTAAGACTTTTTTGAAAGTAAACATCAAGCTTGATGGCTGGATTTTTTCAACGCGGATTAAGAAGCAGCTTATGATTCACTAGTCCCCTCACAACAAGGATGCGAGCGAGCATGCATGCATCTAGCTGCATCACGCACTTACACCTCCACACCCGTGCACTCACTAGTCACTAGTTGTCAGGATTTGATTCCAAACGGATCGGATGGATACGTGCATCCATATGTTCATCACCCTAACAAAAACATACAAGCGCGCGCTAACATAATTTTGTTGGACACGGCTAATGCACGGCAGTGCGTGCAATGGCAGATCTAGAAACGGATCGCGAGGGGGCTAAGTGTACAGAGTAAAACAGAGGAAATTTAAGACAGCCAGGTAAGTACTTAGAATTAGTAAAAGAGTTCACCCGGCAAGAGTGGTGTCCTCCAAAAGATTGTGCAAATTACTGAGTGGTGTCCTGCTATTAAATATGGGCTAGATTTGTCGAGTTTTTGGGTTGTGTGGCTTCACATGTGGGGCTGCTGGGCCAGGTCTGAAGCCCTCCTCCTGGTAATTTCGGCCCGCCGGCGGGGGGGGCTACCAACTCCTCTGAATCCGCCCCTTGCGTGCGTGCGATTAGCGTTCAGAACGCACACCGACCTTCTTCCTTGTCCAGTAACCCTGCGCCTTCCTCGCCTCCTGCCCCGCGCTCCCTCGACCCCGCCCTCCTCCTCGTCCTCACCTCCGCCGCTACCCACCGCCCTGCCGTGGGCGATAGGGCCTCACCGGAGCTCCGTAGCCGTGTACGGCGACCTCCTCCTTCCCCTCCCCCTCCCGCCGCCTCCACTGCCGCCAGAACCCTAATGCCGCCCTCTAGCCATCCCACCGTCTGGTCGGCCTGCCTCCCCTGAGCCCCTTCTCTGCTAAGCCCGCCAGAGTTGGGAAGAAGAGAGGGAGAAGTACAACGCCTTCTAAGCCCGCCGAAACCCTAACTCCTAGATGCTTGAACGCGAAAGGAGGAGGAGGAGGACACACCTCGAGTTCGCCGGCGCTGGTGGCCTAGGAGCGTTGGTAGCTGCTAGATCGAGGAGGAGAGAGGCGTCTTGGTGTGGTGGCCTCCTTGAGCGTGGCGCGATGCGGAAGAAGAGAGGGGGAAGGGGAGAGAGAGGGGAAAAAGTGGGCGTGCGGTGCGGCTACGCGGTGCATTAAATGCCAGCAAGCCAAAAAGTAGCTTTTGCCTATTTTGTTTAGGAGAAGCCATCTAAGTGCATATATATCGTCTCCACTGGATAAAACATTGATTTACCCATAACATACATGAACGGGTGGGTCTTATAACACACGTCTCTGCCTTTGATGGTTTATGCGCGGTTATATGTGACTATAGTGATGACACAACTGTTGTGCATGTAAAGTGCATGTGTTTTTCTTGATTTTACCTAAAAATGTATTTTCTCGAGTTCAGGCTCTCTTTCGCGGGGTTGGACTTCTCTAAAAACGATGAACCCAGGGAAAAACATGTTTTAGTTGTTTCATCTTTTGTCTTGGTTTTGGCTTCAGGAATCGTTCTCGTGTGTACACGTTTGGTATGGCGTTTGATTTCAGCACTCCCTACAGCGGCACTAGCCTACGATGCCACCATGTTGTGCTTCTGCGGCGAGTGCCTCCCCAGCCGGTGCAAGTTCAACTTCCCAGCCACGCCGCATCTCGGCATCCCCGACAACCTTCCAGTCCACCTCAACATCGCCAACATCAAGGTGATTGTAGTGGACTACGGCCGAAGCTGTGCTGGGTTCTTTGCACCGCTCATGTGCCCTACACTACCAAATGCACCATCAGGACCACCTCTAATGGTCTTTGGCGCTAGCTCTTGATGGTGTTGCCACATCACCGCCCGGTACTAAGGTGACTACCATAGCTGATGACCATCATGCATGGCAGCACCGAGAAGAATGTAGATGGAGAATTCATGGTTAGTGTTGAGTGCCTACTCTCACGCAACCAAGATGATTTCATCATGGTGTTGGACATGGGACCAGAACCCTCCTCTTTTTTCCTCCACACTCAAAAAATATCATGGATGGTTAAGAGCTTAAGGGAGTGTTCACTTGCAAGTCTTTTTTAGTCTATCAAACAACAACTAGTGTTTTGAGAGCAACCATCCCTTAAGTTTTTGTCCAATACATGTAAAGTGAAGGGCCAAACAAAAGCTTCCTCTCTCTATGCCTTATCTTCATCCCTTCTTATTACTCACCCCGTCCACATGGAACTAAACTTAATGCGTATCTCGCCCCGCCACATCCACCTCCCCTTGGCTCGGTGACTCCCCTACCAGATCCACTTGTCATCCACCAAAGCTTGGCCCTAAAACCCATCTACCATCTTCATCTCTTGCCAAGCTCCCACATCGCCATCGCCTCCCACCAGGCTCCGACGACGCTCATTGCCTTTCCTACAACCATGCTAACATAAGGGAGTCGTGAGATTACTGTTGCTTGCTGGGCTGACTTGACTATGACCAGCATGCAAATAATCTAGATGGGCAATAGAAAAATAAGAGGGTATAAGAGGAGTTCTATGCTCTGCTTGGGCCCGTGGCCCTAGGCCCAAATTCATCCCTGCTCACATCGAAATGGCTAAGAATACAGACACACTTGCCTCACATTCACATACTGGCCTATATGGACCAATGAATAAGAGTTGTTAAGTACTTTAATTTGTAATGAACAGGAGAGGGCATGGTACTAATATGCATATAACCATATGGAGTATTGGCATTAACATATATGGTACAAGCAGCAGTAAGTAGAAGGTTCCAAATAAAGTGATAATACACCTCCAAGGTGATGAAATAATAATCCATACTACAACCAACATGGTAGCACTCTTAGATATTAAAATGCAATATATCTGGATTTTATTTCATTACTTACATGAACTAACACAGATAGCCAGAATGGGCACTAACTATGTAAAAGGTTATTCACCACAGCAATTGTAGAACTAACATCGTGTTCCCATGATATGTCCTCCATTTATGGTCTGTTCCACTTGAATGTGCATGTTTGGCTTTTGTAGCATCTAGGACACAGATAGGCTAACTCCAAACACAAATAATATGGTGAATCTTTGTAGTTTGCGCTTTTGCAAGGGCTTTTGTATTTGCTTTCATCTCATTCTCATCTATGGAATCAGAAAGACTCCTGCGTCCACCAAAATATTCTCTTAGTTCTCACACACTGGTTGCCTTAGCTAGTGTAGTCTCGCTACCAATCTTGTGGATCGACATAGTATCAAAATACTCTTTTGGTTCCTTCACTAAGCCAACACTAACCATATCATCAATACAATGACACAAATATTCATTAAGAACCAGCTCATGAGCATACAGCCAGAGTAGAGAACTTTTTGAACCTTAAATTTGGATGATACCTTGTTATCAAAAGAGGATCATCAAGGGAGGAATCAAGGTGGTGAACAAAGTAGTTCTAGACACGTGCCGTTACGCCTAAGGGGAGTGAATTTCAATTCACTTTTTTCTAAACCCTCACGTGAGAAGATGTACACGTATTGTAGTGCTTACTCTTTTCACCTATAATGTAATCACACCAAGTGTTGTTCTTCGACTCTAATGGTGTTAGCTGTTTGAGTCCCACTTCAGTAGTTCTAGCCAGGTGCCCTTACACCTAAGGGGAGTGAGTCCTAATTCACTTTTTTGAAACCGTCGTGTGTGGAGATTTACCCGTATTGTGCCACCTATGATGTAATGTAATCTCACCTACTATTGTGCTTTGAATCTAATCACTTCAATAAATATTTCTTCACACTGTCGTGCCATTGATTTTATTTGATGTCCTATAAAAGGTATCATGTGTAACGGATGCAAACATCTGTGGCCTTTCCATAACACCATAACGGAAAAGACATATTATCTTTCATTGACATAATTTTCCAAGATTTGATGTACCAAGCAGGCCACCTTTCGTAACACCGTAATGGAAATTGAAAAAGACATTAGCGTGGTATACATGCTACCTGAGATTTAATGAATTAATGAACTAAACAAACCACCCACCGTGAAGCGTGGGCAGCTAGTACTATATAGTATTCCTCTCAATCACGCATCTCTATATCTACTCTCTCCGTCCTTATTTTATTTTCTAATCAGACACTATCATCAACATGATTAATGATGATTAATTGATAAATAGAAAGTATTTAATGCAAAATCGGTTTTTGTCCTTAGAATACATTATATTTGAGGACAATTTTTGAATGCTAGAGTCAACTATATTACAGGAGGGAGGGAATATATCTATATCTATATCTTCTATATCTAAAGAGCCAAAATTTCTGCTACCTATATTTTTTCGTCCAACCTAATCACAGGTGTTTTATCCACATCCAGCTGGGTGATTTTTTTTCGTTTCCATTTCTATTTCTTCTCGGTTGCTTCATCTTTCTTTTTTCTTTTTCCCACATAGGTGTTTCGGCGTCGGGGTCTTAGGAAGGTGCCACCCCCACTCCTAGATGATGTCCGTGACTTTTGGTTTCCTTTTTATTTATTTGTTTTTTCCTATAATGAAGTAACTATGCTTTTGTTATAAAAATATGATAAATAATAAATACAGCATTACGGGTCTTTTAAATGTTGACCCTTTACTTATAATAAACAAATATTTTTATTACTAAGTTCTTGGTATTAATTAGGAATAAATTACTATTATAACATGAATCAACCGATGACCTAACTTATGAACTTAAATTTTGAACACTTTGCCATCTAATCTAATAAAAATAAATGTTTCTTCAAGCTATCTACACGCACCAGTGCAGATCTCTAAGTAGTCTACATATAACGATGCAACTCTCGATAAAGCTGACATGTGGAAATTGAGACATGAGTACAACTAACTACTTGCCGACTTTAACAAGCTATTAGAATTACATACGTTTATGGATCCTCAAAAGAAGCTACAGAACTTGGTATCTAACTCTAATAAAAAATAAATAGATATCTAACATTGTCATCCTTGTTTCCACTAATGAGCCTATTCGTTTGAGATTGCTGGAACAATCACTCACAATATCAAAAGTAGCACCTACACAAATTAAACTATCGACCATTGCAACTGTGCAGCAAGCTGAAACGAATAAATCATACGTTTGATAGTTTTTCTCCCGTCGCAATGCATGGGCATGTTTGCTAGTTCTTAAAAAAAGATAAACCTATTACAACTCAATCAAAAAAATTATGTGGATCATGGGGACTTCTAACTCATTTTGAAGTCATTATAATTTGTTCAATATAGTTTTGAAAACATTTAAAGGTCATTTTGAAGTCCTTGTAATTTATCTGGGATGCTGAGCTCATCAGAAAAATTGTTCAACATAATTTTGAAAACATGTAAATCAATCAAATTTAATTACTTTGAACTATGTTTTCGTAAAGAAAACTCAATTACCATATATTTTGGAAACCAACCTATTTGGAAACTTCAATAGAATCTATTTTTCAGCTAGCGTTGGGAGAAAAAAAATCAACTTGAATTCGAAACTATTAGTTCATCAACAAACAAAAGATGTTTGAAAACCACTACTTAACATTCATAGCATTTCGTTGTCAATTAAAATAAATGCTTACACTATCGCTGCATGTAATATTTTTTTTAGAAAAGAAATATGATGAGAGCAGGAGACGAAATGCTGGACACAGGTCTATTAATTTGTTCTGCAATCACCTCGTTCACAACACGCAGTTCCTACTTCTTATAACGCATATTCATCAGCTCTCGACTTTTTTCTTTTTTGAGAAATCAGGGAGGGGGTGATCCTCTACTGCTTTATTAAAACAAATAGAGCTTTCAAAAGAAAAAATAGAAACCCAAAAATAAAACAATGAAAATAAAGAAGATGTGTATTCGATGCAGAAGCAGAAACTCAGAGCTGCTAGCTCTGTTTTTTGGTAAGAACGAGCGGGCTGCTTTTGATGGACTGAACGTGTGTATTCGGTGTGCGCGTTGAATAGTCCAAGAGAGCAGAGGACTAGATGATGACATTCGCGGCTGGCAGCTGTCACTCTAGCTAGGTAGTTAGGAGTCTACTATTGGGCTTGTTCGTTGGTTGGTTTCTGGGCTGATAAGTCTGATTGGTGTTAGTTTGTTATGAGAAAAAAAAACACTATTGACTGATAAGCCCTGACTGAAACCAATAAGCGAACAACCCTGTATAAGTCAATGTCTAAGTCGAAGAGTAAACGATGAGTGTTTTTGTTATCTAGCACCTACAGCGATTCCATTTGCCTTTTTTTTTGCTTTTGACTATACTGACTTGCACGTACTAATTAACAAGAAGATAGCATTAGAGAGACGACATGTACGTAAAGCACGCGTGTTCTGGTCAAAAGGAATTCCTTTATACTAGAGTCATTTAACAATATAATATTTTCGAGAAGTAAACTCTTATATCGTAGTCTTTTTCGAATTTGCATGCAACATTTGGTGAACTACTTTATTTTGAAAGGACAACCATCTTCTAGACAAATATGACATTGTTTATTTCTTTCAAAATTAAAAAAAAATGGCTTGTTGAGACGATACATGCTAATATTCAGTAATAGGGTAATATTGCTCCTTTCAATAAGACATATTATAGACTAATAAACATTTATCTGGCCATACGTATATTAGCAGTACAACAATAGCATCCGGTGTCACGTAGAGATATAGTTGGGGAGACCAGTTCAGCTCCTCAAATACATCCAAAGCGATTGTGGGGCATCACCAAACTCATAATGTCCACAAATGGTTATGGAAATGCACATGTCAACCTAAGCATAAAGTATTCTTCTGGCTCTTACTCAAGGACAGGCTAAGTACTAGAAACATCCTGAAAAGAAAGAAAGAATACGCACTTGGACTCATACAATTGTGTGTTATGTTTACAGAACACAGAAGAGACCTGTCAGCATCTCTTCCTACAATGTCCATTTGCAAAGCATTGCTGGGAACTGATTCACATTGACATCCCTCTGAATGAAACCTTTCCAGAGCTCTCAGATTATCTCAAAGATAGACTGCATTCACAATTCTTCATGACAGCAGTAGTGCTCATTTGCTGGACAATTAGGAATGACCTGATCTTCAAGGGCATTCAACCAATTATAACGCATGCCAGAAGACTGTTTTCTTCAGAAATGCTCTTGCTGTTGCGTAGAGTTAAGCCAAGCATTACTAATCAGTTTGATCAATGGATATAAGCTTTGATGTAATTCATAGTTTAGATTTTTTTTTTGTTTCCTTGTTTGTTTCTTGAATTTGCCCCTTAAACTTTAGGCATCTGCTCCGGTACTCCTCCCCCCAAAGATTTGCACGAATTTTAAAGCATCCAATTAAGGTAATTATTTTTTTTGCTAGTAATTTTCTATCTGGACCACGCTTGGACCTAGCCTGTCCGTCCAGCCCTGAGTCCAGCCCGTCCCAAAGTAAAGTCATCGTCACGGAAGGAAACGTCTTCATCCATTCATTCGTCGAGGAAGGAGACGGCGCCGCCGCGTCGATATTCCGGAGCAGCGGAACCCGGCCGACCGAGGGACGCCGGCACCTCGGCACCACGGCAAGGACCCGCCCGCGCCGCCGGCCGGGGAGGCGCCCACCCGCGCCACCAGTCTGAATGTCTGATTGCACACGCCGGGTGCCCGCACTTGTTGTAGTCGTTGTAGTCATACCGGGGCCCCTGCAAGTAGTCTACCCACTCTTGCTAGTCCGGCTCCCACACGGCGTGCTCGGCCTTGGCCGTGCTGCAGTTCAGGACGGCGCGGGACAGGGAGGGCGTGCCGAGCTTCGCGGCGTAGCTGAAGCTGACCTCGCTGGGGCTTACCGTCACCTGGGAAGACGAACCTGTCGGAGTACGAGTAGTACATCTCCGGCACGCCGCTGAACCATCGCCCGTTCCACACTCCCGTGCGATACTTGATGCCGCTCGAGTCCAGCATCACGATCTCGGGCAGCAACACTCCTCGCCTGACCATGGTATATACCGGAGGTCCCCCGGTCGCCGGGCGAACGCCACGACATGAGGGACCACCCGCCGCCGATCCACAGGTTGATGCCGACCTTGACGCCCGGGAGCAAGGTGTTGGTCGGGTGGTGGAAGGTCTCCTTCTTCCTCGACCAATGAATGGATGACGTTGAACTTCCGTGACGATGACTTTACTTTGGGGACGGGCTGGACTCAGGGCTGGACGAACGGGCTGGGCCCAAGCGTGGCCCAGATAGAAAAATTAGCAAAAAAATTTTAATTACCTTAATTGGCTGCTTTAAAATTCGTGCAAATATTTGAGGGTGGAGTACCGAAGCAAATGCCTAAACTTTAACCTTTTTTAATATATCTTTTCAGTAGGGGCTTTGGCCCCTCCAATTTCCTAATCCTAAAACAAAACAAAAGTATATCCATCCGCCCCGGTAGGAATGACTACACGAGGCCCGCTTAACAATGCCGTTAGCATATCACCTCCGCTTCCTATTTTTCAAACTCTGCACGTGTTTGTTTATGATGGTGAGAACCGAAGACTGTTTGGTGAAGCACTGTCTGTTTGGTGCCTTCATACTGAGGTGGACATGGCGATGGAATAATTATGCTTAGACTTAGGGCCTGCTTGATGAGCTAGGGCTAGTTGAGCTAAAAAATAACTCATAGTTGGCTAAGGCTTGGCTAAACAATTAGCCCTCCTATTTGGATGTATTAAGACTAATTTTTAGCTAGCTAGCAATTACAAATAACTCACAATTAAAACAGAATTTGCTCCTTGGATCAAACTTCCACCCTTCAATGTATATGAAAAATATATGTTAAGAGTAGAAAGAGATCTGTGATCCCTTTATCTTACAACCAAAAATCCATCAATTATAATGATTTCATCCTTATCCACCTTGTGTCGTATGGAACAGTACCACAGCCAGGCCATAAACGATCGTGGATTATTTACTGCTGGCGGGTTTGGTGTGAGAGAAAAATACTGTTCTGGCTGGAAATTTACGATCGTTTACGACCAAGCGAACAGGCTGTCAGAGTTCAATAGCTTCAACAATACCAGCTGAATGTCTTCAATTACACCAGGATGGTAGTTTTTTTATTCTTCAGTTGCACCAAAGCACCTTAGCAGAATGCAAAACACTTTGTGCATCATCTGTGTCACGTAAATGTATAATCAGTACAAAAGATGCAGACATATCAAAAGAGGCATGATGGCTGGTACACACTAGAGGTTATAATTGCATAACTAAGGTATTAAATAATTGAAAGAAAAAAATATAAAGCAATTCTGGTACAATCTAGGATCTAATCAAATCTGAACATCAACACTAAGATCACAAGTGCACTTTAGCTAAACTGCGGTCAACACTAAGGCTTGAATTTCTACTTCTAGTCTTCCAAGTGGTCAACACAGTGAATATGACAACGAACTTAGGCATAAGACAATACCCTTGTTGCATTCATTATAGTGCTAAATTTAGATTGCAAGAATCGTTCAAAAACTCAAGAATTAATTTTACAAAAGAAACTGGTTGAAGGTTACTGCAACAGACCTGCAATATTCGCAGCAGAAATGTCATCAGGTATGTTGGCTTCAGATTCCACAGATGCCTTTGCTATAGCAACCCCAATTGCAACACTCTGGATGATATCGAAGCCTGCACATAGAGCTGAAAGGACACCACCAACCAAGCAATCGCCAGCACCTGTGAGGCTTATCACAGAGGCGGATATTGCAGGTAAATGAAAAACACATGTTCTTGAAGAGCTTTCTCCGCACAAATTAACACGACTGTTCAATGGAAAACACCCATCCATTTTTTCAAGTAGCTGTCTGGAGAAAGCGTCTGTTTGCACTTTCTTGCGCTGGTCTTTCATGAAGTTAGTGTGCTCTTTGCAACAAATAAAAAAAACACCATTCGGGCCAAGTGTGACGATGAGCAACTTGATGCCCTTTTCAAGTAGGAAGAACATTGCTGGGCTAAGCATTTCAAACAAATATTCAACAGCGTCTGCTTTCTCCTTGAACTGTTCTATTTTGTGAAAATTATATTTCAATGATGGGGATAATGAATTTGCCATGGCAACAAGCTCAATCTCATTGGGAGAAGTGCAAGTTATCTGAATCATCACAGAAAATTTATATGAAGTGTTAAAACTTCAAATACAATGCATACTATAGTTTTTAATCTTTCACACTTACATATTCTGCAACTGGTGCAATTCTTCGACTCTTCACCACTGAGACTGGCTCAAATAACACAGGCACCCCAGATTCATATGCCGCTGGGAAAAATAACTCAACATAGTGTTACAATCAACCTTTTGTCCTAAATTCCTAATCAATATGATTAAGATAAGGAAAATATAAAGTGTTAACACCTTTTTTGTGAGTGTACAGTGCTAATAACTAGGAGTGTAGAATACAGATGCTAAGCTCTTACAGTGGGGGAAACCCCCAGTTGTATTTTCAGAATTTCAGGTCAAAAAAATTGAGAAATGAGGGTCAATGTAGCATACTGAGATACACAGCAATGCAATAACAATACTTTAAAAAGTTGATTGTAGTAAAATTACACAGATCAGGGGTGTACATAATAAAGCTGGCATAGGTCTCCCTATAAAGTATTCCAATGAGCTCCGGTCTATATAATTTACTACAACTTGAATCCAAAGTATACAAGAATAGGGAATTGTGATTGTAATTATAGATGATTAAAAATAAAGAAAAGAAGCAGCATGCATTCTAAACATTTTCTGATAGAAACTTTACAAGCAAAACACTCAATCATTAGTTTTACTCAAATGGAACTTAAAATAAATCAAGATTCAATCGTGACCTTCAATGTCATCATCAGTAAAGAATTTATCAGGAAATTTTTAGTGCATATAATTTTAACCCTACAAAACTTGAGGTGGAACAACTTACTTATGCAAGCAGCTTTAAGTGACTCAGGAGGTAAATTCGCATCAAGCATTACAAGTGGTGCATTAGTGATATGATGACGGAAGCGATATATCCAGCTCGGAGTAATAAAAATTTCCTGCCCACATCCAAATAAATCAATAATTAATAAAAAGATTTTTTTTTCCAAGGTAACCATACATATTGTACTATACTGCTGTAAAAATCTTACAACTGCTTCAACACTTGCAACTCCAGCGACTAATTCTCCACTACCATCAAATACATTTGATACTACTGGGGTTGCAACATCATCAGCCTGCAGAATTCCTGTCGTGTGCATTTATTATGAAGTAATATCATAAAGTAGGCTGTCATGAAGATTATGCCACACAAATAATAGCAACCCTCTCTCTAGTGCACCATTCCATGCTAAATTGCAGACAACTGGAAAGGATTTAGTGTTAACAAAGGAATAAGGAAAAATAAGTCTTCAGAATGTCTAGCAATAGCCAATTATTTAACAAACTACCACATGATCCAATTAGTTTAAATATTAGTTGCTTACAGACCATTATGAGCAAAACAATTAAACATTGGCCTGGAAATTACATATCATATACACTAGAGCATGCTACAGAGGGATTGGGTCAAGGCCTAAAGCAGGGCAGCAGGAGAGCATTTAGCATTTAAGTTAGCTTTATGATTTATCATACCTCATTAGATAAGGTATTTCCTTATCTCTAAGATTAGATACTATTGTTAAGGATATGTTAGCATCTGTTATAGGAGTACTTTTCCTTCCTAGTCATGTGGTGTGTGACATCCGTGGGGGAGTGACCGGATATGATAGGAGTGGGAGGTTGCCGGCCGCTCGGCCGCTGGCTTCCTTCCCATGATAGCTGGTTGTTGTCACACCCAATTTTAAGGATAAAATTGAATGCGTAAATCTTATAATGCGTCCAAAGATCAGTCACACACATAAGGTGACAAATTACAAAGTTAACATCACGGTGTTTATTACATCACGAAAAATATCCATCACATAGTCTTTACATAAGCATATGAAAAATAAAAATAACTCTCGCAGTAGCTCCACATCACAGGGACATCAACTAGTTGACCACAAGTCTACTAATCCTCAGAGAAATCATCATAACCATTGCTATCTGTTAGCCAAAACAAAGTTTCAAAATTTAGAGATGTCCAAGTTATAAATCACTTATAAAGATAACAAACAATGCTAGAAGTTTTACGGCGAGTTCCATCAACAACAGATCGGTAAAACAATCATAAGTCGAGTTCGGATATCCAGCAGAGGCGTTCTTTATATGGTTGGAAAGCTTAGGAAATTATCTACAACCTTTATTGACATCACTTTTCCAGATTACGTCGTTAAATTAGTCAATAACGAGAGAGGCAGCAGAGAGTGCTAAGAATTCCGGATAATGAAACTCCAACTTGTAATAGTTATATCTCACAAAGCGAGCAGATAAAAAGATGATTCTTACGGCCGGAGAAAGATCTGATAGTCTCTTGTTGCCCATAAAAATTCATAATCTTTGGTCGTACAAAATTAAATGAGCATTATGATACAGATATAACCAACCCAAACTATTTATTCATCAATCTTAAACTTATGATCCTTATCTATGGGACTTGTGGACATGCCCACAAACTCCCAGCAATCATTACAAAAAACTCCAACTCAAACATAAGCATAAGCACAAACCAACTAAGCACATCAAAGTTTACAAGCACACACTAGACTCGACTCGACTCAACTTGTCTCACGCTACTAGTGTCTTATTACATAAAAAGGGACTCATATTCTTATGGTAGAGGGTCTCGGGGAAGCTTCTCATACATCATTGGCATCTTGAGGCTCTCTCTATAGTCATCCACCATCTTTTGGCTTAAGCTTGCGAGCCTTCTTTTTAATGTCTTGGCTCTTTCTCAAGCCGCTCATTCCGCTTCATCAGCTCACGGGCAAGTTGACCATCACTACAGTAGTTGGGTCCAAACCTTCAGGCTTCATCATTGCCTATCCTAGTTCATGGTGATAGCAAGGAAGGAACCAGAATTGATCCTCCATTATATCCCAAAACGTCGAGCGCGGAGACTCAGGTAGGCTTCAAAAGCTACATCATCTATGCTTTCTTCCATAGTAGCACGACTAACCCTATGGTTGTAGACCGAGTACACCTGAAAAGCTCTCTTAGCTTCATCCCAGACGGAGCTACACACCCTAGATTTCCAATAGGTGTCCTCGAGGGGATGCTTGTTTTCCTCGTAGAAATATTCCACAGTTGTCTCCATGTCAGAGTAGTAAGCCTGTAGCAACCCCATTAGTCGGGTGTGGGATTCGGACACGTTGTTTCCCAGCTTAATTTATTTCTCCTTGGTCCATCCCACAGTAGGGGGGTGGCACAGCTTGTGGTGGTGCATGCGATGCTTGCTCAGACTGAACACCAGCAGGGGCGATCTCCTGCTCCTTTGGAACCTCCTCAACGCGCACCTTCTTGCTAAAACTTGCTTGTAGGACGCAAGCCTAGTTAGTAATTGTCGTTTTAGCATCTTTTGCTTTACTTGCTTCATGCTTACTACCTCAGTCTTGTTATTTGCTAAAACTTTGTGCTTCTTTCACTTTACTCTATTATAAATTAATTGCCTCTATTCTAACTCTATCTTGGTCTAATTCTGTAGATGCCTCGTGGTAAGTAAGGCGCGCCATGAAGAGCTTTGGAGGAGCTTCCCTTGCAAGAAGGTGCGTTGAGGAGGTTCCAAAGGAGCAAGAGATCGCCCTGTTGGTGTTCGATGCGAGCAAGCATCGCACTCACCACCACCTGGTGTGGACGGCCCCTCTTGTGGGATGGACCAAGGAGAAATACACTAAGCGGGAAACAACGTGTCTCAGAATCCCACCTTGGGCTAATGGGGTTGCTACAGGCCTACAACTCGATATGGAGACAGCCGTGGAATATTTCTTCGAGGAGAACAAGCATCCCCTCGAGGACACCTATTGGAAGTCTAGGGTGTGCATCTCCGTCAGGATGAAGCTAAGAGAGCTTTTGGTGTACTTGGTCTACAACCATAGGGTTAGTCGTGCTACTATGTTAGAAAGCATGGATGATGCGACTTTTGAAGCCTACATGGGTCTCCACGCTCGACGCGTTTTTGGGATATGATGGAGGATCAATTCAGTTCCTTCCTCGTTATCAACATGAACTAGGATGGGCAATGATGAAGCCTCTGGACCCAACTCTTGTAGTGATGGTCAACTTTACCCATGGTGATGAAGCGGAATGAGCGGCTTGAGGAAGAGTGAAGGCACAAAAGGAGGCTCAAGCGAAGCCAAAAGATGGTGGATGACTATAGAGAGAGCCTCAAGATATCAAGGATGTATGAGAAGCTTCCCGAGACCCTCTACCATAGGAATATGAGTCCCTTTTATGTAATATAAGACACTAGTAGTGTGAGACAAGTTGAGTCGAGTCGAGTCAAGTCTAGTGTATGCTTGTGAACTTTGGTGTGCTTAGTTGGTTTGTGTTTATGCTTATGTTTGAGTTGGAGTTTTTGTAATAATTGCTGGGAGTTTGTGGGCATGTCCACAAGTCCCATAGATAAGGATCATAAGTTTACGATTGATGAATACTCCCTCATCCATAAAAACATGCAATTCTAGCACGTTGTCCTGTTTTAGTACGTCAAGTTTGACCAATTATAGATAAAAACTATAAATATTTATCATATCAAATAAATATACTTACATTAATTACGAAATGTATTTTTATAATAAATTAATTTGGAGTCATAATTATAAATACTATTCTTTGAAAAATTTGGTCAAAGCGCGACCTACTTTATCGCACGCATAACCCATAGTTGCATCTTTTCTTGGATAGAGGGAGTAAATAGTTTGGGTTGGTTATATCTATTCTCTCAATTCTGTTTTCTAGACCAGTCTGTCTTTATCATAATGCTCATTTAATTCTGTACGACCAAAGATTATGAAATTTTTATGGGTAACGATGAGATCACTTGTATCTTTCTCTCGACCGCAAGAATCATCTTTTTATCATTCGGTTTTGTGAGATATAAGCTGTTACAAGTTGGAGTTTCTGCGCTGTCTGGAATTCTGAGCAGTTTCTGTTGCCCTCTGTTATACTAATTTAACGACAGAATCTTGAAAAAATGATGTAAATAAAAGTTGTAGATAACTTCCTAAGCTTTTCAACCATATAAAGAACGTCTTTGTTGGACATCTGCAACTCGACTTATGACTGTTTCACCGATCTCTTTGTTGATGGAACTCACCCAGAAAACTTCTAGCATTGTTCGTTATCTTTTATAAGTGATTTATAACCGATCTGCTGTTGATGGAACTCGTCCAGAAAACTTCTAGCATTGTTCGTTATCTTTTATAAGTGATTTATAACTTGGACATTTCTAAATTTTAAAACTTTGTTTTGGGTAACAGATGGCAATGGTTATGATGATTTCCCTGAGGATTACTAGACTTGTGGTCAACCAGTTAACGTACATGTGATGTGGAGCTAGCGCGAGAGTTATCTTTATTTTTCTGCTATGCTTATGTAAAGACTGTGATGTATATTATTCGTGATATAATAAACACTTGTGATGGTACCTTTTGTAATTTGTCGGCTTATGTGTGTGACTGATCTCTGGACGCACATAAGATTTATGCATTCAATTTTATCCTTAAAATTGGGTGTGACTGTTGTGAAGGACGATCAGCAGGGAGGTGAGATAATAGAGAAAGGAGGTGAGAACGAGAGTTTTCTGTAATTGCTTGTTTTATTTCTTTGATCACCATTTGCTTATAAAGAGGATTACAGCAATATCTTCTCCTAACCCCTTGGCTCTCCCTAACTCTAGCTGCTTAACTTGACCACTCTCTCCTTAACTCTAGCTTATTGACTCGACTAGTCCCTTGATCTTATCCTCCCTAAAATTAGCCCCTTTGACGGCGCTAATTATTCCCAACCATAACATCTCTCCCCTCCTCCGGAAAGAGCTCGTCCTCGAGCTCGAGCTTGAATGCGGAAAACTGCTGTTTGAACGCAGCAACTGGCTCCCCAGTGGCGTCCTAGCAGGTTGTGCGTCCCAGTGGGTCAGCGTCTCCGGATAAGATAGGAGTGGGAGGTTGCCGGCCGTTCGCCACTGGCTTCCTTCCGTGATAGCTGGTTGTGAAGGACAATCAGCAGGGAAGTGAGATAATAGAGAAAGGAAGTGAGAAGCGAGAGTTGTCTGTAATGGCTTGTTTTATTTCTTTGATCACCGACTGCTTATAAAGAGGATTACAGCAATATCTTCTCCTAAGCCCTTGGCTCTCCCTAACTCTAGCTGCTTGACTTGACCACTCTCTCCTTAACTCTAACTTATTGATTTGACTAGTCCCCTGATCTTATCCTGCCTAAAATTAGCCCCTTTGACGGTGCTAATTATTCCCAACCATAACGTGGTGTCTCTGCTATCACATGCACCATCGCGCTGCAGGGGTTCCAGGGTTACCTTACTGAGACCTCAGGGCCCCTAACTAGCAAAATCAAGATATTAATGACATTATCTATGTCGATATCAAAGTACCATAACCTTCTGCACACCTTAGTGCAATATGTCTACATGTAAGACATACAACATTCACTGTTTCACTCTTTATTAGGGAGGAAATTTTCTATCTAGGTGATAATGATTAAATTTATCAAAATACAAATAAAACCATTTTTATTGAGCTCACAAGAAAACTACTGTTATGTGCCGGTGCCAGCATTTTAAGTTTTACATGATAAGCATCCATCAGAGGAAAACGGTCAGACCGGACACTGATTACTTGAGGTAGAACTTAGGAGCCATATAACAACTATGCAGGACTTCTTTAGAAGCAAAATGTATAAACAAAGTATTTATATGACATTAATTGCAGTGGTTGACAAACAGAAAGGTAGCACAATATGTCCTCTTCACTTGCTTCTATTGCTTTCACGAAATGCACAATATGTCACACAAATTGATGCTGCGCTCACTACAACTATAAAGTAGTTTTAAGTGCAACCTTGGGATGTGATGGCTCTAATTCTTTGGCCACAAAGAACCAATGAAGTCTACTATTATCTGACATAGTAAGATCTTAGATTTCGTTTGTTGCACCAAAAATATAGGATTTCAACTAAGTATCACAAATAGTATAACAGTAATGGAAGACAACAGAAACAGTGCAGAACGAGCAACTCAATCCCAATTGAAAAGTAAAAAGAAGAAATCACAGTATGGCTATCTTCAAACTTACCTTCTGTACGTAATCCAGCCGACCTCCAGTATTTTAAAAGGAAGTCCCCTTCAGCAGAGTAGAACTATTAGAGTATATGTACAGCAGTAAACAAGGCATAATACAAAGTAGATCACTACAGTATATGATACCAATCCCTCAAAAAGAAACTGCATGATACCTGCCATATCATTTCCAACAACACTTATCATGAAGGGCTGTGTCCCAAGCTTTGACATGCACTCGGCAATATTTCTTGCTACACCTCCACTGATGTATTTAACCTGAGAATCACAAACTCACTGTTAAGTAAATATCTGTACGAATGTAATATAAACTACTAAGCAGCTGTATAGTCTGTAACTGTGGATGAAGCAAATGCATACAATACAGACTAACAAAGTAAAACTAGAAAAGGTATTGAAATTTGGAAGAAAATAAGAAACAAACATGGACTCAATATCAAATACTTAAAAGGATTGAAGTGGGAACTGAAGCATCTTATTCATAAGTCCCCAAACAAGTTCTTATCCATATTACAATCTAATGACCTCATTCTAAAGTAGATAAGTACCACAACTGTAACAAGAGAGAATAGTCACAGAGTTTCTCACTGATACTAACTAAATGAGCATTAGGATAAGTGATGATGTGGAAGGAACTGCATTTGAAACCCCGACAGTGGAGCCATATACTAAGATGACCTTACCTTTACATATTTGCAATCCTCCCTACTTGTTAACATGAACCTTAAACACAAACTCGGTACATGACATTACCATCTCAGAAGACAAAGTCAAACGGTGTAATAGGGATCATGAACCAGCAGGGGTCCTGATTTATATCCCAAGCACATGGCGCAGCAAGCGACCATCAGACACACAATGGGCATCAATTACAAACCCGTTCTAAGCACAAAGACGAAACAAGTCAAGCCTACGGTCTCAACTCTACATCGCATTCCACCGAATCCTTGTTGCTCATAGTCGATCAGTCCGTCACACGATTACGCCTCGCTTCTCATAACCAAACGGAAGTACTAGAAGAGTAGAGGGACACGCACCATTCCAGGGACAGTGGTGCCAGGATGGGGCGGCACGGAGGGCTTGGCATGGATATCCAGCACCATCCCGCCGATGATCACCGGGCTGGGCTCCACCTCTGCGAGGCTGCTTAACGGATTCTGCGACGAAGGGGGGAGAAATCAGGTAAGCAAAAGAGAAATCAAGGTAGGGCGGTACGGCACATACAGGGCGAAGCGGCGCGGGAGGCAGAAGGAGGTGGCGGCGGACGGCCTCCATCCGCCGGTTCGCGGCGGGCTCGGCCATGTAAGGCGGCTAGGATTCTTCAGAGGATGGCAGCGCCTTTGGATGTGCGGGGAAGAGGAGCATCATGAGGGGAGGATTCCTGCTGCCATTGGCGGCGACGCACGGGACGCTGTGAATTGGGCCGTGTCAGGACTTCGGTGCTTATACGGGAAAAAACACTTTTCCCAACACAGACTTTTTAACGGTGTACGGTGATGGAAGAAAAATTAAACTAAATTTCGTTCGATTCCACGCCATCGTGAACTGAGGTGGTATCAAACAAGCCCTAAGGCCCCGTCTGAATCCCCGTGAATTCTGAGAATGGAGATAAAAAAAATCTCAGAGGCGTCCAGACGGGAGGGATAAAGCTGGAGATAAAAAACAATCTACGAGCCAGATTGTTGAAATCTCCGAATCCCTCTCCTACCGGATAAACAAGGATACTACTCGGTAAAAGACGTTTCTACCCCCACCTTATCTTCCCCTGTCTTTTCTTGTCTGCAACCTTCTCGCGCAGGCCAGCACCTTCAAAGTCCCGATGCCACCGAGGCACCGACCAGCGCTTGCCGCACCGCTGCCTCAAGCCCGCCACCGCGAGCTGCTCCAGTGCCTCCTCCGCCCTGACCGCGTGCACCGGCGCCTCCGCCACCCCGCGCCGCTGCCTCCGGCCGTCGACACGAGACGCTGCCGCTGGCCCGCCACCGTCTCCTTTGCACGCTGGCTATTATTTGTGCAGCGCCACTACTGTTGCTATCCCTTGTGCGCCTCACCATAGCACTCGTGCGCTGCTGCCTGCTGCGACTACCACCACCCCAGATGTGTTCGGATACAGAGAGAGAGAAGGAACGAGGGATGGATAGAGAGATAAGTTTGAGAAATTGATTTGAGTTTTTTTGTCTGCATACATATTATTTTAATAAAACTACATCATTATGTAAACCGAGTTACCAGGAATTGATTTATGGGTTGACTGCAAGATCAAGGACATTATAGACAATGCACCACCCTTCAACAAGCCATAATCTCAAGCTAGAATCCAAAAATCCAAACAGCCTAGATTTTTATTATTCACAATCCAGATTTAACAATCCATGCCTAGAATCCAGATTTCCTATAATCACAAACCAATCCAGACTGGCCCTAAAATCGATCAAAACTATCTCTCGGTGATATTCGAGTGGGCACTGAATTTTTGACACCTGCTCTCTTTTTTTTGGTAGTTTTTCAGGAGGGTCAAATGACACGGGTTCGGTTCACACAGGAACCAAAACTTGAATGCAGTTTCATCATAGGAAATCAGAGCATAGGATTAGAACATAGAAACACTGATTAAATTGCTGCTACCTGAAATATGACAGAACAATAAACAATATCCAAATAAAACAATCAAATAAAAAAAGGAATATCTATGCTAACTGACGGAAGGTAGTAACCACTCAAGAGACACCCCCCATGTTATTCGATGAAATGGCGAATAAGAGGGTGGCGTACTGGCATGGGCGCAACGTTGCAGACGCCATTTGTGCAGCACCTAGTCAGACAATAAGCATTCACAAGAGCCCCAGCTCTACATTTAACACCATGGTTCAACAGCAGGATGCTCAAGTTCACATTCCTAGTACGTACCTCCATTATTGCAAAATCTGAACTTCAAACAATGTTCATAACTGGTGGCCTACCAGAATAAGTGTTGAACTATGATTGATGTGGCAACTTTTTGTATTCAGATGCTGGCAACTCTGAGGGCCAGTTTGGTTGCCGAAATTTTTGGCAAAATGACACTGTAGCGTTTTCGTTGTTATTTGGCAATTAGTGTCCATTCATAGTCTAATTAGGCTTAAAAGATTCGTCTCGTGGATTTCGTCTAAACTGTGTAATTAGTTTTATTTTTTATTTATATTTAATGCTTCATGCATGCGTCCAAAGATTCGATGTGACGGGGAATCTTGAAAAAATTGGCATTTTGGGAGGGAACTAAACAGGGGCTGAGTCATGATCTTCTGACGGCCCTAGATATTAAATATTAGGATTGTGATAGAAATGACATTGGAGGAGAACTGGTAAAATTTCATTATTCCCATTTTTCAAAAGTTATTTATGAACATATGTTCTGTAGACCCAATCTTAAATGTGTGCCGAATGTAATGGATGACCATATCAGAGAACTGAAGAGGCAAAAATCAAATGATCAGGCTCAAAGTAAGAGTCATTTCATGTCTACTCTCCTTTCTAAATATTTGTAAATGCAAGATGCTAATACTTGAAGAATCTAATGCAATATGTAACTTATAGTGTACTAGCTCTTTGTCACATCATCTGAATGGGGTGCCAGTGGAAACTGACAAAGCTTAGAAATCAAATATTTAGCATATCCAAAGGTGTTTTCATGTTCCGTGTGCCCATAAGATCAAAGGTTGTAGATGGGATGAAGTCCTGTTCCTTCAGTCTGCATTGTCCATTATATTGTGTATTCAATAAAGTTGTGTGGCCCCTTTTTGTGGTTTTTTTCAGTTAATCATCATGCACGTTATTCATAACTTGTTTCTTCTGATGACACCCCTTTCTCCTAATTTCATGCACCATTCCAAGATTCAGTCTACCTCAGACATATCTGTGCACGCAGCATATCTAATTTACAGGAGGTGGACGCTAGATGCTCATTGGCTTGAAGGTCAAATGTCATTGATGGTTTACCTATAATAGCTAGACATGATTTTTGGCTTATTATTTTCTCCTGCTAAATGCTAATGCAGATGAGATCTGCTTACCATGTCTAAGCAGGTGGCGTGAGGGAGCACTGTAATCCTCATGCATCATCTTTCGATATGCTCAATTGCCAGTACAAACACTATCTCTTGGTGATATCGGAGGCAATATTGAATATCTGACACCTGCTCTCTTTGGTGGTAGTTTTTCAGGAGGGTCAAATGACACAGGGTTCGCTTCACACAGGGACAAGAACTTGAATGCAGTTTCACCACAGGAAAATCAGAACATAGGATCAAAACATAGGAACACAGATTGAATTGCTGCTGCCTGGAATATGACAGAGTAATAAACAATATGCAAAGAAAACAATCAAATAAAAAATAGATTATCTATGCTAACAACGTCTGATCTTATTATAACCCAATTTGATCAGCCTGCGCAACAATTGATGCCTTCCAAATTAGCCAGAAAAAGTACTTATAGCAATAACCCATTAATTTTGCCTACGCCATACGACTCCCATACGCGCAACTGGCCTACTCCTCTAAGGAGGGCGCGCAAAGCCGCACCGGTCTTTCTAGTCAATTCTTAAATGCGTGATAACAAATTCGGAATAACCACGCTTCGGAATTCTTCTACACGCGTCTCAGGAAGACCTTGTATAGATTCTTTGCGATCGTTCGTTCATTTTTTTTTTCTCCGAAGTTTTGTTTCGCCGTCTGGTTCTGTTTCCATCTTTAAGAAGCTTACTGTCATGTGGGGCCACACCTACACACGGAGAAGGCGCGCAAAGGACGAGCGGAGGGCCGCGGCCGCGGCCGCAGCAGCACCGTAGGCTCAGTCCAGGCGCATGGCAGCAGATCCAGTCTAGGCGCATGGCAGCAGACCAGTCCTGGCTGCAGGAAGTAGTCCAGGAGATCTGCATGGCCGATCAAGGCCTAAACTTAGTAGTTTCGTTCTCAGGCTGTTAGAGAACAAGTTCTATTTATACTCCTGTAATGCGAGAGCAAACGCAAACAATATCAATTACCCAAATTCCCTAATCTTTCCCTTCTTCAACAATCGGGCGCTGAGGGGTAAAACATCGCCCCAACACCACGGATCGAGGCTACGAACCACGTGGCGAACCACAATCGCCTTCGACGCCCTTGACAACTCGGTATCTGCGTCCGAGGCTTTCCTCGCCACCACCGATCAGCCACTAACCTCCACCTTAATCTCGCGCCGACAAATGCCGCCGCCCACCGATAACCACCCCGGCAACCGCAGCCATGGGCGACTCTCCCAATCGGACCTCGCGGCCGCCATCACGACCTTGTCCATGAATTTGGATGCCCTGCAGATGACCGTCGGCGAGCTCAAGCAAGATCGCGCGTTGACTCCTCGTCATCAGCGCCAAAGCCCCGCCCACCGTGGAGGAGCACCACGAGGATCGTCCACCGCGATTTCAAAAGCTCGACTTCCGCGCCTCGATGGCAAGTCTGATCCCTTGCTTTCATCAACATGTGAATCTTATTTCCATCGTGGCGTATCATCTGCCGGAGGAGAAGGTCTAGATGGCCTCATACAATCGATATGATCCCGCTTAGGGTTTGTTCCCGATCTTTCGATGAGAGGTGTGGGATAACTCGATTGATGGGTGGAGGCGGCGTTCACGGCCCGACTACTGACCTTCAAGCTACGCCTTAGCAACCGATACACCACCTCCAACGGCTTGCCGCGATCTTGTGGAGCGCGTCACCGACCACTAGGGCACTCGTCACCGCTAGCAATCGAAGAACTAGCAAGAACAAGTATAGCAAGTCTTGAATTACTAGATGTAGATGAAAGTTTCAAACTCAATCTCAATTAAGGTGGGGTTCCGAAGACAAGAAGGCAGGGCGGTGATCCAAAGCAGCAGCGCTTACAAGCAAGTAGCGAGAGCTAAACTTGATCTAAACAAAACCTAAGTGTTCTGGTGGCGGCTAAGGGGTATATGGCGTGTGGAGGACGACCACAAGAGAGTTTGGGTCGTGCTCCAACCCTAGGATGCGTCCCCTCTTTGGACTCTAAGCGATACAAGCCCATTGGGCTAACTTAAGGTGCGCGCACCACCTGGACAGAATAGACCTCTCGGTGATTTTTGGACTGTTGACGCCGCTTCTGAGCAGGTATGAGTACGAGGTCAGATCCGTATGAAAGTAGACTTTATTAGCTTTCCAACAAGTCCAGAATCACCCCAATCCGACTCAGTATGTAACCGTGGCGACCGTCGCCGAGTTGGAGGTGTCTTTGCAGTCCAAATC